TAGTTGGTATACCAATTGGTATATATAGCATTATTCATTGAACTATGATTAATTTGATCAACTTGAATTTTTATATAAATAATTTAGAAGAAATTATTAAAAAAGTTTGACTATTATAACAAAATAAACTCTGAATTTTTAATATTGTCAATTTAAACTAATCTTTTGATTTGTTTTTAATTTACACCATTTGTTTATTTTCATTCACTAAAACTAATGGGGAAAAAAAAAAACATTTTAGTCATTAAATTTAATATAGGTATACATAAAATGTCTAAAATATTTCTTTTCGTTAAATTTAATGATTAGAATACTATTTTTTCATCAAGTTCACTTAACAAAAATTAACATATGATTTAGATTAAAAAAATTAAAAGATCAAAATTTAAATTGAAAAAATTAAAAATTTATTTTATTATAAGGAGCAAATCTTTTTTTAAAAAATGATTTTTCTAATAATCCATTAAAAGACATTAAGGCTCCTTTTGTTTTGATGTAGTTTTTCTTTATTTGGTTGAACAAAACGTAAGTTTAAAACATTTTTTTAAGGAAATATGTCTGCATTATTTTTTGAAAAATGACTTTCCTTTTAAAATTTCACAAGTCAATTTTTATAAAATTAACTCTCACTTACTAGTTACTACATTTCCAACACATTTAGTATTTTCAAATAAAAATCTTAATTCATTAAAGTCATAAAATACAGTTCTGTGAAAGTGATAATACCATCTAATTCATAGGATACTACCTTCAGAACAAGAGATGTGGGTCTAAATCCCACCAACATTAAAATTATTTAAAAACAATAATTAGAAAATTACATTTTACCCCCTCAACTATGGGCCGATATCACTTCACATCCCTTAGCATTGCTACAACTATGTGATTATTAGAAAAGTTTAAGCAAAGAAAACAGTTAAGAGTCCAACATTAAAAATATTATAGAAATGTAAGTAACAGGAGCACCAAAATAGCGTATCAAAAAGGTACAAATGTAGAAACATTGACCACACTCCACATGAAGAACAAGCCTATCAAGAAGACTTGGGGTATTTTCTGAATGCATTGGTTTGAGGCAAGCCACGAAGTGATAAATTACCAAGAAAACATATTAGAAAGAGTCACTTAGTTGAAATTTGCCCATGTATCTCTCCCTCTAGTTTTCATCTATCTCTTTGATAGTCGGTGCAACTAGGGAATGTTGATACATGGCCAAATGCGTTTTAATTTGTACCGGACCTTGCGGAATATGCAAGGATTATTCATATTTGTTTTAGGATATTTAATGTGGACATCTCCCCCCTATCTTAGGGGGTGGTGTAGAATTTTGTTTAGGATTGTAAGAAAAGCCCCTTGTGAGTGATGGAGTTAGAAATTTAATATAAGGGAGCACCTATTAATTATAATTTCAAAATTTTTCTTTTCCAATCAATAACAATAACATAATAATAATTTTTCAAGCTAATATTAAACACAAAAAATTAATATTAGCACAAATTAATATTTTTAATTTTAGCACAAATCAAATCCTTAATGTTAACACAAACAACAACAAACCAAAATTCTTATTTTAACATAAATCATCACCAATCAAAATTCATAATTTTAGCATTTCAAATCTCTTATTTTAACATAAATAACAACAAATAAATTTTTTTTTACAAAATCAAAACTTAACAAATAATTATAAATTAATACTCATAATTTTTGTTTAAAAGTAAAAAATAACAAATAAAGTTACCCATAAACAATGAAGAGAAGATACCAATCTTGTAGTGTGGTCCCAAATCTGTGTTGTGTGATCCCAATCTGGTGAATCACGAGCCAATAAATTACAAAACAACAAAGGAAGATAAAGAACACAAAGAAAATACAGAGACATTTAACAAGTACTATGAATAAATAAAAATAAATAAAGAACTCCATACACTTTTAGAGTGTTAAAGATCCTATCGGTTGTCGCTGAAAGTCTTGCCCAACAATTTTATTTTATTTTTTTAGATTAACCCTTGCCCAGCAAGTTAAGAATTTTTTTCTTTAAAAAAAAATCGAGACTTTGGAAATTGTGGGGGAGAGGGGCTGTATTAGTCTTTATCAGTGTTTGTGTGTGTCAATGTTTAGCTAAAAGTCTAGGACCCAAAAAAAAAAAATTGAAAAGTCAGGATGTGGGGTGTTAGTGTTTGGTTTAAGACTGTGTGTTAGTGTTTAGTTAAGACTTTAAAAAAAAATAAAAAAATAATAATAATAATTTGAAATGTCAGGGGGGCCTTGTGACCCACCTAGACTCTTTAGTGCCTCCGCCCCGGCCCCTGTAAACCTGTATATTTCATTGACTTTATTTTAAGACTTAATTATCCCTAAAAAAAAATAAAAATAAAAATAAAAGAGGAAAAAATGTGCTGTGGACCACTAATGGGTCAATTGTGGCCTATCGTTGGTCCATTATAGAAAATTTGGAAGCAATCAATTCTAGTGGATTTTGGAATTAATATTTATGACTCATGACTATGTGCCACTTGTTAGAAATGGTTTTGGAAATTCTGAAAAAAAACAAAATTTTTCTTAAACTTTGGTCTAATTTTTAGGTAGAACTCATGCGCCAAAGTTGGCGGGTCTAAGTGGTAACGCATTCTATGCCGCGTTGTGATTCACGTGGTATATTTGGTTGCTCAAAACTATTATCGGGTGAATGAAAAATTGAAACCAAGGAGAGCTCTATGAAAATAGAGTTTTGGTGGAAATTTCTTAAATGTATGGTTTAAGGCTTGTCCCACATTAGTTTGGTGGGAAGAATTTTGTAGGTTTATAAGGCTTGGGTTTGGAACTAGAGGTAGGCCCTAAAGGGCACCTAAGTTTTGTAGAGAGGGAGGTCATGAACAAAGTGGGCTAGACCCATTGGACCAAAAAATAATCACACGCGCATGTCGTCCATCCAGGCAAGGGTGTGTGGTTGGGCTTGTCTGGCCCAATACTAACATTTTTGGGCAAAAAACATTTGAATTTAATTTTATTTTTTTAAATAAAATCTGTCCAAGAATTCGAAATTAATTTCGAATTTCTGTCCAGGTTAATTTCAATTTTTGAAATTCAAAACAGTTTGCACCTCTGTCCAACAAATCTGAGTCTGTTACAAACCCATAACAGGTTTTGTTCAAAATTCGAACCCAAACAGATTCATATCTGTTTGAATTCAAACCCAAACAATGCCATTCAAACCAAACAGGTCTGCTACCTGTTCAAATAGGTTTATTACCTGTTTAATTCAAAATGAAGAGTCACCTTTACACCTATATATAGACAAGTCTCTCACTTGGTTTTTCACTCTAATTTTCATCCAAAATATTGTCTGCCCTCTCTGCATTTTTGCTGCATTATTTTCCTTGTGAGAAAAAGTGTAAACACTTAGTGTGTTCATTGTGTGAATAAATTGTAGTGTTGCATTTATTCGTTGATTGATCATTTCATCCTGGGAGATAGACGTCCACATATCTGAAAGCATCGTGGAGAGGACGAATATGTCTTAAGGACATAGTGTCAAACACTGGACTTGATCAGAATATTATTCTACAAATTAATCAAGTAAGTTGTTAATTTATTTTCTGTTTTATTTATTTAAATCATATTTTAATTTTGTTTTTGTAACAAAATAAAATATGTTTTTTATTTATTTATTTTTATTTCTAGCTTGATTTTTGTAATCAAACAATCTCTTTCCTTTCTTATTTTCTTTTGTATTCCATTTGTTATTTAGTACACAAACAAAATTTATTTCATTAAATACAGTGAAAATTGTCCAACACCACTGTGATATGTTGTCCAACTCTCATAATAAAGGTTGTAAGTTCAAGTCTTATGTGAGGCGTCGTTGAGAATGATCCCTTTTCTTGTTCACCTTAGATTTAGATTAGAGGAGATCCTGACGAGTCAAAAAAAAAAAAAAAAAAAAATCACCACTACATAAAATCAACTTTTTAGGAATAAATTTATTTCGTCCCTAAAAAAGTAATATTTGTAGAAAAAAACTTTAGCAAACTAATTTTGTCCATCGCGAAGTTTGTCCCAAATAGTCCGTCCGGAAAAGTCAAAAATTGACTTTTAGAGACAAAATTTTGCATTTGTCACTATAAATAGATTTTTAGAGAAAAAAATATGTGATTGCAAAAAGTTTTAATTTTGAGACAATCAAAATTTGTCTCTAAAAGTTTATTACAACCTACGACAACCAGAGTATTTACGAAGACAAAAAATTTAGTTTTTGAGACAACCCAAATTGGTCTCTAAAAGTTTTAGGTTGTGTTTGGTTTGTGTTTGTAGAGTAGTTTTTGAGATAAAAAATTCGAAAACTTGTTTGGTTTGCCTTTTTTCAGAAATCGTTTTGGAAAATTGTTTTGGGGAGAAAGTTTTAAAAAAAAAGTGATTGATTTGATGTGTATGAGAGAGAGGGAGTGATTTTGGAAAGTAATTAACCAAATAAAATTTTGAGATTTTTTTTGAAAAAATTTGTTTGGTTTGATTACTCTTGTAAATTTGTTTGTATAGAATTTCTCAAAAATTTTTCTGAAAAACAAACCAAACAAGCCCTTAGTTTTTAAGACAAGTGAAAGTTGTATCTAAAAGTTTTGGTTTTCCTGTCTGCAAAAGTTATTATTTTTTTTCAGACAACTAAAATTGGCCTCTAAAAGTTTGATAATATACTTCTTCTTTTTTTCTTTTTTTTTTTTTTTTTTTTTTTTTTTTTTTTTTTTTTTTTTTTTGATTTTGTAACAATTACTCTAAAAATACTAATTTGAACAGAAACTCATATTTCTTACTTGATTTCTCAACAACCAAACAGAAAATATCAAACATATCACCAGACCATTTGTTCTTCTTCAAATTAAAATTCAACAACACCAAAATAAATAAATAAAATAAAATAAAACAACCACTATGCTCATCGCATTCAAAGAGGCTTAATCAAAAGATATTTCAATGACAAACAAATACCATGCTCTAATTCATTAATACGTAATATTTGATTGTATATCATAAACTGATAGAGATTTCAAAAATATCATTTCCAATTTATAAGGCTAGTGCCATAAGCATTGTTTGTAGCATTCAACTATTCAATAAATAGATTGTAAATTGTAATTATATCTACCTACAAAACAAAACAACTCATCCATCACATTTTCTTCTCAAGGGCTTCATTGAAATGTTATTCAAAATCTCGCATAGAGCTCCCAAGCCTTCAAAGTGCACATTTAAATTTCAATCTGCTACATGGTGACCACAACATTAACAAGACAATAAGACAAAGTCAAGGAAATATAACATGTAGACATTTAAAGCCAAAGCAAGCATATATTTATGTACAGAGTAAATAACCATACAAATGCTTCAATACACCAAATTACCTTCTTCTAATGTAGGACAACTTCGGAAACTTGGGACAAAGCTGCATACACAAGTTCTATAATTAGTTTAGGACCTTCAAGAGCAAGTGAACCAAACTCCCAAAACTTGATTGGCTCCATATTAGTTACAAAATATGCTTGAAAAACCAACATGATATTGTAAATTTGTCAATTAAAGCCCTTCAAATTCAGAAAATGTCATTGACCAACTTATGGGCAAATTACATAACAAAGCTTGACTATGCCATGTTCCTTTTTATTATTAATAAATTGCTCTACTTATATATATATATATATATATATATATACACACACACATGGAGAGAGAGAAAGAGAGAATTAGACATGGGCGCAGCTAAAATTCGGTTCAATAACTAAATAATTTCCAACCTGTAGCAGAACTTAAAAAATGAATTTAAATATTACCTCCCCTGCAGCTCTCTCTGCAACTATCGCCTCCGATGCAAAAGCTCGTTCAGCACATATATGGGCATGTGCCACGTTTTCAACATAAGTGAAATTGTACATGTTCTAGCCATTATTCATAAGAAACTGCTCATTTTAAATAAAACAAAGAAAACGAATGTTAAATTCTTTTCTTTTCTTTCCTTTTTTTTCTTTGTAAGTTATCTATGCACACATAATTATGCCCCTCTCCTTTGGAGGTGGTACGACTACCAAACTACTAGTAAAATAAATGTTAGAATTCAAGAGTGTACAAGGGACAATACCAATAAAAATTGAAAAGTAAGATCACAAAACATATGAAATACAAATGTTTTCAGTCAGTAACTGGTTTAGTGTTTTACAGAAAGAGAGAATGTATACAGCACAAATACTCAATTTTTCATGCCCTGCGTGAAAGAACACGTACATTATGTCATTTATTAATTATATGGATTCAAATGATTAAGAACCTAGCTATCCACCAACTTGATATTGAATGAAACACATGAATTTCTAGAACATTATAAAACCAATATGTAAGGCGGTCACAACATGAGAAATTAAATGGACAAAAAACTTAGTTACCTTTGATTTCCCTGCCCTCACAGCAGATACCAATGATGGAACAAGTAATTTATCACCAGGACATAAAATGCTGCTAGGACGGATGCAGCATGTTAGATGCCCATTACTACCATTTGACTTGATGACCAGCGACTCTCCTTCAGCTTCAGTGGCAGAATATGTATCATTGCGCTGGAACAGTTGCAGACACAAATATTTTTAATACAAATGAAATAAGTAAATAAAACAGAAGAACATGCAAAAGAAAAAGGGGAAGTTAGTAGACTGCAGAGGAACAGAACATTGCTTCTTGCTGTTCACAATTTCATCAATTGAGTATTATATATATATATATATAGCAATGCTAAAGTTATGTCCACGGGAAGAGTGGCAATTTTAAGTGCCCATTCAATAATGATTTACAGACCAATCCATCTTGGCCATATTACATTAATGGTCAAGATGCGGTTACCAAAAATCTTTTACACGTATAAATTATTAAGTCTCCAATGAAGATGGTTAATTTATGGACCAGAAAGTTTAAAACATAGTGCAAGAATGAAATACAAAAAACACTACTTACAATGAACAATTAAAGCCATGGATATTAAGTTGGGAATAAAGAAGAATTACCATTTTGTGATGAAAAACTAGGTTAAAAGGTAATGGTAAGGACATTATGAGGTACAAGCTGAGAATTAAAATAATTGTAGCTCTCCTAAATATGGAACACAAGCTGAAAAGGTTACCTTGGTGATTAGAACCCTCATACAATGTTGTTTGGGTTGGAGGATATCTGATATGCTTAATCCTACTTTTACATTTAAAAAAAAAAAACAAAAAAATATGCCAAACTTGGCTTGAACTCAACTTGAAAAACTACCAGCAATGCTCAAGACAAAAGGGCTCGTTAACTACTGAACTTGGCATGCACTACAGGGGTTTGCTTGGTTAGAGGCTCATTTAAAATTGGTCCAAAACATAACTAACAAAGTTTATATAGTAGTTTTGAAGCTTGCCAATATCTTCTAATTTGGCTCAACTTTATTCAATTCCGTCTTTTTATCTGTTTAAAAGTTTTTAAAACAATGTTTCGCCATTTACACTCCCAAGGTTGTAGGTATAATCATTTTGCTCTGTTTATTGCTTTTTGACAAGATATCATTAGTCTCTCCAAGTTTCCAACTTTGATTTAGTTTTCTGTCACGCCCCAAGTCCCGTGATAACGCTACACTTATCCAAGTGAACATGCAAGGCTAAGAGTCCAATCAAATACACTAACAATATCAAATACCCAATTTAAATCTTCAATTATCATAATGCCAAAATTCATAAAAATAAATAATTCTTATTATATGAAATTGCCCACCAAGTCCACTAATATAATCCACTAGCAAAATAGTAACTTAAAAATCATAGTCCTACTCTTGGCACTCCCACAAGTACAAAACCCGCGCAGCTCTACTCAGAATCTGAAAAAAAAATTAAATAAATAAATAAATAAGGGTAAGCTAGACAACCCAGTAAATAACCAACCATCACTGCTAGTTGGATCAAGTATACAAAAAAAAATGTCGATAACCAATAAATATATTTTTCTACAATTCAATAAATGAACAATTATTTTGTAAAATGGTTTCATAGCTGAAAATAAACAGTGTAGCAATACATTTTAATAGAAAAGACAATGAGGTAATTCAATGAAATTTCGTTGTTCAAATTAATGGTTCGATATTCAAATGGTTCAATGATTCAATTCACAACACTCAAGTCTTGGTGACTACGGTCACTTAGCCCATGACAAGGCCCAAAACCACACATAGGCTGGTGGTAAAGCTCGAAAAGAAACTAGTTTTTGTGCCAATAAATAACCCCCGTTAGCTAGGGTCCAAATCATAGTCAGACTAGAGTAATGTTCAAAATTCAACCAATACACAACTTTTAAATAAAATATTCAATATTTTCGTAATAAACACTTTGTACAATTTTCAGAATAGTTTCACAAAATATTCAAATAATTTCATAATAATATCTGATGTTGTTTTATACTTGGCCCATATTTTATTTTAAGAAAATAGGAAGGTTATAAATAAATATTTATAATATTCAAACAATTCAATAGGAATAAAAATGAACCAACAATGATAGATGATTACTTACATCAAACAGCAAAAATAATATTTCCCAAGCTAATCTCAAATCACCAAGATCCACCTCAATCTCACAAACCTAATAAAATATTACCCCACATAGACAATTATTATTGATCACCATAATGCATCCATCATTCTTTTCTTTATGATAGAATAAGCCAATCCTATAGTCTATTAGTAGTTTCCAAACCCCAGCACCGAAACAGAGCCACCATGGTTTGTACAATTTTTCAAAACTTACATTATTCTATTTTTGTTTATAAACATGTATAAATTTTTAATTACTACGAGCCAAAAACATATCAATCCCACAATTACACCACCATTAAACTTAACCCATCACATATCAATCCCAAAATATGAACCACTCAAACGGAATGCAAAAATACACTCTAAAGTCGGGCAAAACCGACACCCCCAACATAGACTACTTCAATATATTTATTTAATCATATATGCCCATAAATTATCTATTGATATTTTGACACTAAATTCATAGATATAAATACAATAAAATAAATCTTACCTAAGTGATGAATAAAGCAAAACCACCACTCTATAAATCCTCCCTCTTTTTTTTTTTTTTTTTTTTTTACTTTCTCAAACCTTTGAGCAGCAGCCTCCAAACCCTCCACAGCGATTTCACGAGGCCTCTCTTTGTTTGTTTTTTTATTTTTATTTTTTGTTTTTTTTTCTTTCGTAGGACTTAAAGCCATGACATGTGGTGTCACGACCCCATCCCACCCCTAGTAGAATGGTGCCGTGATGGCCAGTAATCCGAGATTACCAAAGGCCAACTTACAAAGATTCACACACAATCAGAGTATACATATGGGGCCTACATGTGCGGAAGCAATAAATTAAAATCTAAATAGTCCATAAGAGTTGTGCATAGATCAAATGAAATGTAATACATCTTAATGTAACTTACAACTTGGATACCATAAAGTAAGGTACAAAATACATCTTGATCAAAAGGCTTCTCAAGCCGACATAAACAAAAGAAGTAACTACAAGCCAAGAAGCATGATCTTCAAGATGCTACAAAATGCGAATCCAAAACAAGTTGCAAACAATCATCTAGGCGTCGCCGCCTTCTTGCTCATCACCTACATATATATGAGAGAGGGTGAGCTTGGATACTCAGTGAATGATACCAGTAATAAAGCTTTTGCATGAATAATACTCAAGATCTCTTTTCTAAACAATACATAGCATAACTTATACAAAACAAGGGATGAACTAAGTCTATCTATCAAGTCTTTCAAATCTTCAAGGGATGCTTACTAGCATCAGTATAATACAAGGGATGACATTAAGCAAATGTGCTACAAAAGCTTAGAGTCCTCTAGCACGTAAGGACTTGTGCTACAAAGGTTTAAAGTCCCCTAGCACGTACGGACTTGTGCTACAAAGGTTTAAAGTCCCCTAGCACGTACGGACTTGTCAAGAATGTCATCCAAAACAAGGCTAATACTTGATACACAAAATAGGGGTATTCATTCATGCTCAACAAATACTTTTTCCAAAACAAAGCAAAGCAAAGGTTTATCAAAACTTTATAACATAACTTTATTAAAAATACCATTCACATAGTTCTTCGGGTGTAGGAATTACAAGCAAGGATCCGAGGCCTACAAGCACATAATAAATCCCATTGAATGCGTTTCAAGAAGACAAGAAGAGATGCTCAAAGATGGATATGAAATGCATCCTTAAGACAAGCTTTACATGACAGGAAGGGATCTCGGCATTTCTTTGAAAATCAAGTCAAAGCAGAACATGTTGGGAAGTTAAAACACTGCCTTTTCATCTCGGGAAAACATGCTGGGTACTAACCAGGTCTAGGCCGAGGTCCCACACCTCTTAGCCGAGGTGTGTTCCCGACGACCACATTCAAAGAAATGAAGTCTGGGAAAAAATCTGAGTTTCCCTCTTGAAGAACATGAAAAACAAGAACATGAAATGCTAAAATCATAACTTCTTCATTCGAAAGCTGAGTTTTCATGAGATGAGTTTGAAAACATGGACCTGAGTACCCATACTTGAAGATTTCATGGAAACAAACACAAAAACATGGAACTTGTTACAAACTTTCGGATCAAAACATGGTTTTATCTCAAGAACATAAGAACATCATTTTCTCTTTCTAAAACAACTTTAAACCAATGCATGGCTCATGAAACATGCTGGATCATGCAATGCAATCGGATCATCATAAGGAAAAACAAGAGTAAATCAAGATTCTAACCTCAAAACACGAATTAAACGGTTCGAACTCTAAAGATCAAGCTTGGAATCTAGCTCTCTCAGTCCAACTTCCTCTTCTCTTCCTAGAGCTTCTCTCTCTACCATGCAAGAGATATGACACAAAATGATACATTTCTAACTCTGCCGACTGACTAAACCCTCTGCTGGGACACGTGGCACTACCGGGTTGGACTTCCTCAAAAGGTGATAGAAAAACAAGACAAGGCTATGACAAAGTGTGTATGACAAGCAAGGTAACAAAGGCACTCCGGCGGGTAATGATCTCGGCTAGGACAAAGCTTCGGCAAGTAAGGTCTCAATGATCTTGGCCAGGAAGGACAACACTTGGCCTAGCTGTGCCACACCTTGGCCTAGATGTGCCACACCTCGGTCTAAGTCGTACCAGTCCAGGGACAAGATCACTTTGGTATAACATCCCGGCCTAGATAATACACATCTCGGTCTTGGTGGTGAACACCTCGGCCCAGATAATGACATCTCGGCCAACATGTCAGGGTGAGGGTGGGGGTCAACCAAAGTGGTTCCAAGATGGTCCTAGGTGTAAAAAGTTCAAAGGTGTAACCTAGGCTTAAGATGACCTCGGATAAACTCACACCAAGCAAGGAACAAGACATGCAAGCAACACTTATGCGAAACAAATCAAGGTTTGAAATGCAACTTAACAAGACAAGATCATGTAAATACATGTAAGCATGACTAGAGTAAGGGTTGCTACATGTGGGCTTATTAACCTAATTTCTCAAAATTGCAACATTACCCATCTAAGTA